AGATTGCGTCAAACGCGAACTGGCCCAAGAATCAATTTCATGACCCCGACCCCGCTGCATCAACTCGTTCAAAATTACCTGGAAGGGCTCAGTTCTCCGGAAGAACTGGCTCAGCTGAACGAGCGTCTGCGCACCGATGCCGCCGCACGGCGTGAGTTCCTGGAAATTGTAAACCTCGATTCGGCCCTCGCCGAGGTCACCGTCGCCGTACCTTCGCTGGAAGAAACCAACTTCGCCGCGGATACCCCGGAGACTCTAGCCACCGAACCTTCCGGCCGCTCATCATCTCGTTGGTCGGTCACGCTCGGTGTCGCGGCATCGTTGGCCATCTGCTTGCTGCTTGGGGCGTTTGGCTATTACGCTTATCTTCCTCCAGCCCAATTGGCAATCGTCGAAAACGCTGCAGGTCTCGACTTCGTTGCCGGGGCCAAAGTGGGTCGTCGGACCTACGAGATCACCGCTGGCACGCTTGAGTTGGTCACCAACCGCGGCGCTCGCGTGGTGATCGAAGCCCCAGCCCGATTCACGTTTCAATCGGAGCAACTGCTTCAGCTCGACTACGGGCGCCTCGCCGCCGATGTTCCTCCCGCTGCCAAAGGGTTCACCGTGATTACGCCTAGTGGCAAAGCGGTCGATCTCGGTACGAAGTTCGGCGTCGACATGCCACAAGGGGGCAACGCCGAAGTACACGTCTTCCAAGGTGAAGTGATCGCCAGTACAACGACCGGCGACGACGCACGCAACTTGAAAGATGGCGAGGCCCTTCGCTTTGCGGCAAAAGATCAGTCTCCTGCCAACTTCCGCTCCGCCGCGTTCATTCAGCCTGGCGAAGTCGTTCAACTGCATGCCGCCCTGCAAGCTGGCCAACAAGTGCGTTCCGTCTCCGAGATTGAAAAGCTTCGCGACGACCCTGATTTGATCTCGCTGATCGACTTCGAGTCAGACGTTCGGCTCCCCGGCAACTACCGCACCGTTCAAGGGCGTTGGCCAGGTTCGAAGGCGGCTGAGCTCGTCAACATCGGCGAACATGTCAAGCTGAACGTCGGCGGCGAACACCCTTGGCCGCAGCTGACATTGGCGGCCTGTGTTCGCTTGGATCATCTCGGCGAACCGTACCAATCGCTGCTGCATACCGACGGCTGGGACAAGTCTCGTAAAGGGCAAGTGCATTGGATGGTCACGAAACAATCGACCATGCGTCTGGCCCTTCGCGACAACAAACTGGCCCCCACCGATCAGCCCAACTCTGGCTTCCCGGACTCCCAGATAGCCGTCCTTCCGGAACAAGGACGCTGGGTTCACCTGGCCGCCGTTTACGATGCGGACAAGCAAACCGTTCGCTTCTATTTCAACGGCCAATTTGATAACGAAGTGGCCCTCTCGCAAGCGTATCCTGGCCTGCTCGGCTCTGCCCAGATCGGCAACTGGAACGAGATCGATCGTAAGCTGAGCGGCCGTGTCGACGAGCTGTTGATCATGGGCCGCGCAATGTCCGACAAGGAAATGCAAGCCCTTTACGACGCCGGTAATCCTTACCACTAATTTCTGTTTTTTGCCGAACTGTGCGTTAACTTTCCCAACAGTTCGGAAAGAACAAGTAAGTCTCAACCCGCCTTTGAACGCCTGCTCCTAAGGCCTGTCATGAAACGCTTTCTTCCCACACTTTTGCTTTTGCAGCTATTGCCTGGATGGCTCGCGGCGGCCGAGATCGACTTCGTCCGTGACGTTCGTCCGATCCTGGAAAAGCACTGCTACGAGTGCCACGCCGGCGACGTTCGCAAGAGTGGGCTCCGCTTGGACATCCGCAGCGAAGCGATGAAAGGGGGCGAGCTTTACGGTGAAGCAATCTTGCCCGGCGAACCTGGCGACAGTCCTTTGGTGCAGTTTATTGCCGATGAGAATGCGGACCTCGTGATGCCACCAGATGGCGAACGTCCAACCGCCGCCGAAATTGCCACGCTGACCCAATGGGTCGAACAAGGCGCCAATTGGCCTGACGGGGTCGATCGCGTCAAACTGGAAGACCCGCGCGACCATTGGTCGTTCCAGCCGGTCGCCGCTTCCGATCCACCGCCAACGAAGAACACCACCTGGGCTCGCAGCGAGATCGACCGTTTCATTCTCGCTCGCCTGGAAGAAGCTGGGCTGCAGCCGTCGCCGGAAGCGGATCGCCGCGATTGGCTTCGCCGTGTCACGTACGATTTGATTGGTCTTCCCCCCACACCGCAGGAAGTGGAAGCCTTTCTGGCCGACGATAGTGATCAGGCCTACCAGCGTGTTGTCGATCGCCTCCTCGCTTCTCCGCGCTATGGCGAACGTTGGGCCCAGCATTGGCTGGACGTGGCCCGTTATGCCGACACGCATGGTTTCGAGGTCAACACCGAACGTTCCAACGCGTGGCCCTATCGCGACTACGTGATCGAGTCGCTCAACGAAGACAAACCATACGATCAGTTCGTCCGCGAACAGTTGGCCGGCGACACGATGGACGAGATCCCTGCGACCGGATTTTTAGTCACCGCGTCGGTACTTTTGCCAGGCCAAATCGGTAAAGACGAAGCCTCCAAACGCCTGGCCCGGCAAGACTCGCTCGACGAGATCGTCACGAACATCGGCACGGTGTTTCTCGGCCTAACCGTCAATTGTGCTCGCTGCCATAACCACAAGTTCGATCCGATCTCGCAGCGTGACTATTACGAGATGCAAGCGTTCATCTCTGGCGTCGAATACAAAGACCGCAGCTACGAGAAGCCGCTTACCGCCGAACAAGAGCAACAACTCCTCGCGTGGAAACAACGCCACGCCGAGATTGATCAGCTGTTGGTACCGTTCGCTCCGTTGGCTGGTTCCAACACGAAGCGGTCCATGGTGAACTCGTTTGAAAATTGGGATCGCTTCGAGCCGATCCGCACCCAACAAGTTCGCTTCACCATTTTGAAGACGAACAAGTACGAACCCTGTCTGGACGAGCTCGAAGTGTTCAACACGCAGGGCGAGAATGTCGCCGCAGCCAAACGTGGCGGCAAACCAAGTTCCTCTGGCGATAACGTCAACGTCAACCGGCACGAACTCCGTTTCGTGAACGATGGCAACTACGGTAACTCGCGCAGCTGGATGTCTAACGCCGTCGAAGGAGGTTGGGTCTCGATCGAGTTCGCCCAACCGGAAGAGATCGACCGTGTTGTCTGGGGTCGTGATCGCAACGGCAAG